CATCGGTCATATCTGCGTGATATTCAAAGAGGTTTTGTAGTTACAATTATACAGTTTCTCATTTCTCAGATTCACATATTTTTATAGTTTTTCCCAATTTATTGATTACAAAGTCTTAATAAAATGAGAATATAGCAGTAATTTAAAGAGAAAAAAGTATAATAAAAAAATGGGGAAAAACTATAAAAATATGTGAATCTGAGAAATGAGAAACTGTATAATTGTAACTACAAAACCTCTTTGAATATCACGCAGATATGACCGATGATAATGTCGCAGTCAACCACTACCAAACATTTCCTTCTGCAGAAATGAATATACTTCCTCAAAGTTGGTACAGTTCTATCTTTAGAAAAGAAAGTCCTGATACTTGTCCAAAATTTAGAATTGATTTTATTAAAATAACAACTTTTTTCTTTGATGTTCAACTTTTTCCCCCGTAAAATTACAACTTTTTGCTCATAAAATTGTGACTTCATTCCCAATATCTCACATTTTCCCCTTTAAGTGACCCTAATACTCCGTCATAGAAACATCATACTGTTTTGGGGCTTTTCGTTCTTACATCCTCAATATGTCTTTAGAGGCTCTGGCAGCTTTGAGATTTGACCTTGAGCTTTGCTTTAACATTCACTGCATTACTGGTTTGCAGGATTAGAATTCAAATCAAACTGCACACACCCACACGTTCTGCCCTGCTATAGTGTTACACTGGATCCTTGTTGAGACAGTCAATACTGTTGGTTCAATGTTGCTCCTGCCAAAGTCAAGAATAAAGATCCTTTTTTAACACCAGCGCTATGTTGCAGGCAGCATGGCAACATCGTGTGTGAGAGAGTATGTAGAGCTGGCGACAGGAATAGGAGCAATCACGAGCCAGAACCTGAGGAATGATCACCATTTGCATAATTACATAAAAAAATATATCTTGTGATGTGAAAGATTTTCCAAGGTCATACATATTCTAACGGTCCAATCTGTATTCACGTGGAGGAAAGAGGGACGAGAAAACAGGGAAGCGCTTCGAATGGATCATAAACATGTAATTGTACCAGTAGAGAAAAAGAAAAAAATAGTAATTTTCAAGTTTCCAAGTTTTCAGATGCTTCATAATCAGGCGGATTTATTCATCTTTATGTAAATGATTATGCAGATGTGTCCAGTTGTCAGATAGAATCAGTGTCCTGTTGACTCTCATGTCTGACCATGAAGTGACGGCTCACAGCCTGTCTGTGGTTAGACTTTCTAAATGTTAGGAAATGTATTATTCATTAGCGCACGCTGTCTAACTGACCTGAGGTTAGCTAAGACTTTTCTGCACCTGTGTCCGTGTGTGTGTGTCTGTGTGTGTGCACATGTCCTTGCTGTGGGCTTGCATGTATTTGTGATTGTTCTTCACTGTGTTCGTGTTGTTTGTGGTTACCACATATGTGGCGCAGTCACTTTTTTTTTAACACCTCAGCGTCTTCTGTTACACCACACCTTCCCCCTGTATCCTCCCCCCTGCGCCGTGCACTGTGCTCCCACTCATGGATTTGAACAGTGGATTGACGTCACTGTGGACAAACTCATCATGTCTGTGACCAATTCACTCTCTCACAATCCATGAGACCTTGGGAGCAAGTCCACAGCCCCGGCATGGAACATGTCCATGGTCTCGTGGAGATTTGGTCCCGTGCACATTTCTGTTTCCCTGTCATCTGTGAGGCAGAAAGGGAGTTGCCTCAGACACTGATTTAATAGCAGTTTAGCACAGTTGACCCCTAATGGTTTTTGTTAGGACTTGGTTTGGCTAATCTGATTTTAGATCTGTGTCTGTGGGCGGCTTGTTCCCAGAGCGTGTGACCTCTCACCTCTAACCTGTTTGACTCCGCCCCCCCCAGCCTGAGAACCTTCTATTGGCCAGTAAGCTGAAGGGGGCGGCGGTCAAGTTGGCTGACTTTGGGCTTGCTATCGAGGTGCAGGGGGACCAGCAGGCATGGTTCGGTGAGTATTCATCCATCCATTGTTTTTTCAAGGTGAATCAGTTGGTCGATCAAGCAACCAAACAAATCAATCAATCATTCAGTTAGCATTGTCAATGAGTTGCCCGCTCCCGCCCTTCCATTCCACTTCTCCTCCCTCCATCTCACTCCTCCAGGTTTTGCCGGCACCCCGGGCTACTTGTCTCCGGAGGTTCTGAGGAAAGACCCATATGGGAAAGCAGTGGACATGTGGGCCTGTGGTAAATAACATTCAAATTCTCTCACTGCAACTGTTCGAATGAACTTGACGCTGGAGCTAAAGCCTCAGTCTCAGGCTTTGTCTGAACTGGTCAGGTGTGTGAAGAACCGTGTCTGCACCCACACTGTAGCTTCATGTTGTTTTAAGTGTATGATGACTATCAGTGACTTATTTGTGATGGTGAACATTAAAGCACTGCACTGCTTTGATATTGGCTCTGTCATGGTTAACTTCATGTCATTGTCTTCCAGGTGTGATTTTGTACATCCTGCTGGTGGGCTACCCTCCTTTCTGGGACGAGGATCAGCACCGTCTCTACCAACAAATTAAGGCCGGGGCCTATGATGTAAGTGTGAATTTGCATAAAAGCTTGGGCTACAGTTAAAGGGTTGGAGTTAACCTTTAATCACCATAACCCCGCGCTAACACTAACTTAAACAAGGCATTTACAGCTCAATAGCGAATAAATGGCACAAAACAGCAAATAATTCTGAGGCGAATTTCAACTTGCCTGAAGATCGAAAAAAAATTGCACCATGGGAAAAGATAGATGGGATTTACATCATGTAGGGATGATCTGCAGCTCCTCAAAAGACTGAATACCTGGCTACAGCCAATATTGATGAAGAGAGGACAGCTTGCTGAGGTTCACTGCTTGGTTCAAGAGATTAAACTGTACCACAGCCACTTCAGAACGTATTTCAGAGTGTCTGAATTTAATTTGATGAAGGTACCGTTTGTTAACAATCCCAGCTGTGGGCGTTTGGTTCACACATTTTCTTTGAGGAGTTGTGTTGCCTGTTGCTTGATCCAAGCTTCAAGTCGGCTGCATCATATCCTTTTAAAGGCAAAAGTAACTGTGAGAACTTGGCTGAAGAAAAGTACATGAAATAAATAAACTTTATATCAGACTGGATACAGGAGGACCTTGTTCTTCTTCTCCTACTACTGCCTCAAAATGTTACATTGTCAACAACATGCACTCTGATGGTTGGTACATGTTGGAAGTGAAACCAAAAAATATGAGCTAGAAAATTGCTGTGTGAAATTCTGTTGGGGAAGTGAAAGCTGCCAGTCACTTGATACTGGTTAAAAAAGTATTTGTGCAAACAGGTGATTTATACGATTTATTGTCATCTTGAAAAGGCTGTGCTGCCAAACGGCACAAACAAAGCTCTTCTACACTTTACTTGAAGTTTTGGCTCAATATTTTTCTCTAGTTTGCATTAATGAAGAAGATAACACTTGTCTGGTTTAGTGATAGGGAAACAAACAATATTTCTGAATACTCCACCCACTGCAGTACATGTACAGTACAGTTGTACTTATACTTTACAAGATCATTTAGTAGAGCACACAGTCAGTCTTACACACAGGTTTACTTTGTCTTTTTCTTTCCGATAATGGTTGACACTATTTTCTTTCCTTAGACTAAAATATCAGATGTATATTTTGTGTATTAGCTGAATAATGAGTTTTGACACTGTGTGTTTGTTTTTACAGTTCCCCTCCCCAGAGTGGGACACTGTAACTCCTGAGGCCAAAGATCTGATCAACAAGATGTTAACTATCAATCCCAGTAAACGCATCACTGCCGCGGAGGCTCTCAAACACCCTTGGATCTGCGTATGTGGCGCATACACACCCCAACATCTTCCTATATTAACAGATAATTCGACTGCGCATTTTATGGAGGGCTACGAAGTATTATTCATGTCCAATGTGTTTTTGTTATGTACTTTATATAGATGCAACACTATTCTTTGCATTATGATACTTACTTACATGATATTTATTTTGTATTTCTGTTCATTCTTATGACACATCACATATGTTCATTAACAGGGATTGTATTTAAAATGGCAACTTGATTTTTTTGTTGATCCAACTCCCAACAAAATATTTTTTGTTGGTTTCATATGTTTCCTGGCACAAACACGCCCTGACAGAGAAATTCACAGACCCAGATAGACAAATAAATATCTATACGCTAATACTAGTGAACCACCATAGTTGACATACTGCTGAAATGTCTTATTATCTGACGTACATGATCACATATGCACATCCACACATTCCTGCCACCCATTGTTTCCATTCCTTCCTAATTCTCAAATCCCCTCATTCTGTCCCTGCAGCAACGGTCCACTGTGGCCTCCATGATGCACAGGCAGGAGACTGTGGAGTGCCTGAAGAAATTCAACGCCAGGAGGAAACTCAAGGTGAGACTTCTGGCAATCCTTTAGGTTTTCTATTTATGTGCAACAATCCATCCTCTTTCTCTCCCCCTCTTTCTCTACCTCGGTTTCCTCTCAGGTTAACGTAGAAATGATGAGTTGCTCTCTAAACCCTCAAGTTGCTGTGCTCCACTTTCATGCTGTAACCTTATAATGGATCTTCCTCTTCCTTCCTTCCTTTCTTTTCTTCCTTCCCTCCCTCCTTCCTTCCATCTTCATTGCTTTCTTTCTTTCCTTCCTTCCTCCCTCATTCCGTTCCCTCTCTCCTTCCTTCCATCATCATTACTTTCCTCCCTTTCCTCACTTCCTTCACTCCGTCCTACCCTCCTTGCTTCCATCATCATTACCCTCTCTTCTTTCCTTCTCTTCTATCACTACAGGGAGCCATATTGACCACTTTGCTGGTCACAAGAAACTTCTCAGGTATGTCTCTCTCAGTGTAGTGTCCGAGAACTGGTTTCAGCAAACATGACTAAAACATTCATCTTAAAATGCAGGTGGTTGGAAATGCTGTATTGGGGGTAGTTTGTTTAGCTGCTCTCTGAATATTGCATCGTCAGGAAACAAGCTAAATCTTTACCTTTAACTTGTTAACAAATGTTGCAGCACCTTCGATATGTTTCTCTGTAAAACACAGACGATCTTGGCGCAAATATGACATTGGTAAAACAGAGTCATCTTTATCTGTCTTCAGCTGTTGCTCTGTCACTCTATACCGCTCATACTTTTTTGCATGCATTTCCTTTGATCTATCTCTAAATACTCGGGCTTCCTCCCTTCATTCTACAGTGCATTAGTGCGTTTGTGTCTCTTTTTATTCATTATTTTCTTCCTTTTTCAATTTTCTTTCCTTCTTTTGTGTGGAATGTGGTAACCATTTGAGGTAAGACTTTTGGGGATGACAGGGAAATATGTGGGTTTGGGCCCAACCAATAAGTTTTATTTGTCTTTCTTCTGATAGCCAGTTTTATATGCATGAAGATAAGGTGTTTGGAATTCGAAATAGAGTGACATTGAAGCTCACACTTGCAAAAGCACCAATATGAGAGCAGAATTAAATTTAGACACAGATGCAGCATGTATATTGAAATGCAACCTTGTGTTTGGATTCTCAGAAACAAAGTGAGAGATGAATGGTGGGGTTGTATGTGTGGGCACTAGTGGTTAAGTGCATGTGTGTGTGTGCAACTGTTCATTTAAGAATGCTGTGTGAGTTTTCTGGATATCAACAAACTCTCCTTTTCATCACCTTCTAAACACAGCCCTCCCCTCAGCCCCTCCCATGTGAATAAATGTTCATTATCAATAACTTTGCATATTCGATGGAGCCGTTGAGAGCATCTGTTGCATTGCATCATGGACCTTGCAGTCGGATTTTGCACCTGGAGTTTGAGGATAAGCACAGTTGATGGATATGCTTGCTGCATGTTAGTGTAGCCTCAGGCCTCAGGACTCAGTTTGTCAACTCTCATGCTGACGTGTCGTCTCTTTCTTTCCGTCCACAGCAGCCAAGAGTTTGCTCAACAAGAAAACAGACGGCGTTAAGGTGAGTGGCTTTGCACAGTGAAGAAAATGATTTGTTTCTTGCATTAGTCTGTTGGAATGTTCTGTATCAGAGGAGCCTTATGGATTATAACTATTATTATTATGCATTTTGCACTGAATAACATCATCATTCAGGGACAGTCACTCCAAGCAGTGGGAATGGTTATTTCCTCAGCTTCATCTAACAGTTGTTTTGTGGCATAGCACATTGATTATATATTCCTCAAATACTGTTGTGATCTGTTATAATCTCTCCATTTGTTTAGGCTGCCATCTGAAATGAACACTTGATGCAGTGTGTTGAGAGTTTTGTGAGACTGAATAATTTTGTGTTCCTGGTTTACATTAAAGTTGGAGGTCGGACCATGACATACCTTGTTTGAATCAGCGTGGCTGTGTGTGGGTCTAACCCAGATGTACAGTTTGTCACACTGCATGATTCAGTCCGGGGAGTTTTAACAGGTCACATGACTGAGGGAAAGTGAAAATAAAAACTAAATAAAAAACATAGAGATTATAATGAAAACTGAAAGCGCACGACTTTGGTGAGAAGATATGTCTATATGCCATGTTTTGTGAATATGCAAAACATATACTGAATATAGAAGCTACCAGGGATTATATTACATCATATTATCTTATATATCAGTTATAATTTGTATGAAGTAAATTGAAAACATAGCTGTGTGTTTTGCCCCAAATTCTGTTTTGGAGACCTGTTGTCATAGCTTCCTACTTTATAATAATTGATTGGATATTAAATAAATGTTTTTGGCTTATTCCTAAATTATCTGACAGAGAGGATGGTCAAAAATAAATTCGATTGCTGTCCCTGAACTTGTGTATTTGTTGATTGCAACTTAAGTAGACAGTGCTGAACTGCATTGTGATATGAAACAAAGATGTAACAGTAGATGTAGGAAGAAACAAAGAATGAACACATGTGGTCATCTGGAAGCTTTGGAGGCACATGAAGCAGTTGCAAACTCTGATTTGTGTTCAGATCAACCAAGATAAATGTTAACATCAAGTATAAACAGGGTCTGAGTGTGTTTTATAAAATACGCACATTTAACCAACACATCTTGGTTGGCAACATACAGTATCATCAGGAAGTATGAGTTGGGATGATATCTTTTGGAATGGACTGGATCTTGTGTGTGTGTGTGTGTGTGTGTGTGTGTGTGTGTGTGTGTGTGTGTATGAGGGGGGGTTTCAGGTCTGAAAAGTGTGTGTGAGTCATATCCCCCTCTACACTGCCCCCTGCAGGTCAACAACAAAGCCAACACAGTGACCAGTCCTAAAGACACTGGCCCTGCCCCTGCACTGGTATACACACACACACCCTCACCTACAGTCGCACCTTCATCCACAACACATCCTCCCAACCTCTCAGCCCACTGTGGAGGAGGTACAGGTTCACCCTTTCACAGTCACCCAGACCAGTTTCTGTTTGATCCCAATTTTCCTTGTTATGACTAAAATTCCTAATCTGGTGTGTAAGAATATTAAAAGAAGAAAACAAAAACCATCGCTGATAACGCGTGGTGAAATGTCTAACTCAACTTAAGGCTACCCCTGAATGAAATAGTGTGTAGAAGCTTTTGTGAGTGCACAGCATGTGTCGCTACTTGATACTATGAAAGTTAACATATTCATAATTCAGAATGATGTGTTCATTCATTCATCTGAATTAGAATAGCCTGCATGGGGCACACTTTGGATATGCTCTACCTTTATAATGTACAAGCAGTTGAAACGATAAGAATCATATAGTTTGGATTTTTAGCGTTGGCCTAAATCGGTTGTTAGGGGCAACCTCTACCTCACCCCCCGCATCCGCTCCCCGTCCCCCTTCCCTTCTTCAAGAATCCCTCCTGTCTCGTCACACACATATATCATGCATGGGCTCCTCCCACATCATTAAATGTAGTTTTTTCCTTTTATTGCATGTGAAACTTTAAAATTCCGAGCATGAATGATGTAATATTGAGAGTTTGCTGTCTGTGCATGGCTGGAGAGTGAGGTTATCTGCTACTTTGGTTTTTGTCATTGTGGCTTGGCTGTCACTCATTGGCTTGCATGTGGTGTCTGATGACTGCTGGCTGCCGATGTCAGGCCACATGACTGCTGCACTGCATGATTTCAAAGGCTTTCCGCCTCCCCATTCGCTGTCAGGAGGATTACGCATGAACACAGGCACATGACATCTTTCTCTATCCTCCTTTCGTTCTCCATTCTCACACACACACACACATACTGTAAAACACACACACAGACATGCAGAGTGCTGATGCTATAATCTAGTGTAATCTGGCTGAATGATTAGAAGGACTGAGCTGGTCATCAAGATCGATTCCACAAAAGCTCAGACATCTGATTACTATGGCAGGAGACTGGTGAGGCTGATGAAAGAAAAGCAGAGATAGAAAAAAAGACTTTTGGCAACAATATCATGCAGGAAGGAAGATATAGGAACATATCTTCATACTGATATAGGATAAATATAGGTTTAAAGATAGATAGATAGATAGATAGATGCAAAGGTGGAAAGTATTATTTATACTATTCAGATAAATAACTTAAGGGTTGTAACAGCATGTTAAAATTATTATTAGTGTAATTCTAATAGTTATGCTAGTGTATACAAGTCTACATACAAACAAGTAGTGATTCACTTTCTTCAAACACTGAGATTACACAAATGCCCAAACAGTTTCATTTCCCTTTTTATTTTTTCTCTTTAGGAACCACAGACAACTGTCATTCACAACCCTGTGGATGGAAACAAGGTATAACAATAAACCATTACAAACAAACATTCAATTGTGTTAAAGTTACCGGCAACAATTAATATCAAAGCTGTGCACACACTCATAGATATCAAATCTATCTAAACAAGTCTCATTTTTTTCAAGATCCATTAATTATTTTCTGACCTATTTCACAATGTTAAAGAAAGTAAAGTTTATTGACCCAGGCCACATCCTGTTGGTTTGGTTTTTTGATGATATATTGCCTTACAAAAACAGATAGGAGTGAAAACATAACCTCCTCTGCAGTATCTCCCTCCTCAAATGAGAGGTCTTATCTTTTGTTGTTATATCATAAATTATGAATAAATCCTGTTGGTCTATTGGGCATCAAGACCTTGACCATGTGATTGCAACATCTCATGGCCTAACTTTATTAGTGTTGCAAAATATGACTTTGCGAAAGAGCATTTTTATCAGAAACTTTCAGCTCTCACTGATATTTCAAACATAAACTGTAATACATCATGATGACTGATTTATAAAGAGGGCAATGGTGTTGGTTAGCACTCATTCAGATACTGAATGATTTAACTACACAAATACAAATAACATGTTGTCTTCAGGAGTCCGTTGAGAGTGCCAACACCACCATAGAGGATGAAGATGTAAAAGGTAAGAAAACTTGTGTCCCCTCTCATACTTGCAGTTCTCACCTACATTTTGCATTTAGACCAGTCAGTCCTCAACATGTCCAATCAGACTGATTGTTTTTCTTCACCCTTCTTTTTAAACGCAGTTAAGATACACAGCTTATTAAGTAGCGCAGCCTCCCTCTGGCTGTCAGCTCTTCTTGCAGAAGGCAGTCCGCCCTGTTCCTTTTTTTGTCCTGTCCTCCCTCACATCATCAGGTTTCGTCTGTTTTGTCTCTGAGATAAACACTGCTTGCTGGTTCCCCTTTCTTTCTTACATACCCATCTCGTTTTCAGTTTTACTAAATCTCTCTTTTCTGTTTTCTTTCCACCCTTTTTATGTTTGGGTGAAAACATATTTCCCACCCCCCCACACAATTTCTATCCTGCCTTTTCCCAAACATACACATGGATGCCTTAAATCAACCCGTATATCTGTGACATCCCCCTCCCCAACAAACAAACACACACACACTTGACAGCTCTTCGTCTGGGCAGCTTAGTGAGTGGTATCTTGAGCTCTAAGAGCCGCTCCTCACAGATGTCTGACTCAAGACAGACTCCCTCCTCCTCAGTTCAGAGTAAGTCCCTCCACCGTGAGAGAGGTGCCACTTCTTAGTACGTCGTCACTGGAGAAAACTATGACATGCCTCAAATCCTGTGTTCCCATAGTTTTCAAATGATTTCCTCCTTTTGTTGCAATGAGTACTTTTCTGTAATTACCTGCTCCTATTTCCTCCTCTGTATTTGAATAGAAGTTGTATAGTCGTGTCTTCCCACTCCTCCCTTCACCTTCTGTTCTTTTGTTACCTTAACCCTGACTCACACAGTAAGAGGCTGAGTCACAAACACACTGAGCAATGTAGTTTTTGTCTTTGGTATATAATATTTTTAATTATTTAATGTCTTTTTGTTGCACAAATTAAGTAATTTTTTCAATATCCCCCAGCCTGCACCAATAACAATAAAGGTAACTTCCACTATTACTTAGTTCAAACTGGTTTTGTAGAGAATACTTTGCATCTGAGCATCGATTTGTTTTGGTTCTTTTGAGCTTTTTTTGAGGTCAAAGAAATCCTGTCATCCTGCATTTACCTGCCTGATCTCACTATTAGTCATGGGAGGCTTTCTTGTTCTTATGTTCCACAGACATGTATAAAAAAAGCTTTGAAATACTTTTTTTGAGCGCCTTCCATTTCTAATAACTCAGAAATCCTGCTAATCCGTAGACTAGATCCCATTTGAAGCTGATTTGATGTCAGATTTTCTTTCTCTGCACTCGGACGTACATTTGCCTGAAATACAGCATCGTTTAGCAAATGATTCGAACCCATTTGTGCAGTTGTTGATGTTGTGTGATCTTGTTTTGCAGCTCGCAAACAGGAAATTATCAAAGTTACTGAGCAGTTGATTGAGTCTATCAACAATGGAGACTTTGAGGCCTACGCGTAAGTTTATTTTTCTTTTATTCTGGATTTATCCAGTAGCACCTAAATACTTGTTGCTGATTGTGTTTTCTTTCTGTGGGTTTTACAGGAAGATATGTGATCCTGGACTGACTTCCTTTGAACCCGAGGCCTTGGGCAACCTGGTGGAGGGACATGACTTCCATCGCTTTTACTTTGAGAATGGTGAATTCAATAAGCATCAACTAAAAAACTTTTAGTAACATCATCAGGGCAGCAGCCAGCAATCCCGTTCTGCACAACGGATTAACTAAATGGCAAATTAGAATTCCAAAGTAGTCACTGAGTTTCGAAGAAATTTATCTCAATTCAAAGTTATCGTGCATGTCACTGTTATCCAGAGCTGTTGAGTTGTAACAGCTGTTCTTGTTCCAGGAAGTTCAAGTCGCTGGCTGACTCTGCCCCCAAACAAGAATTAGAGGTTGCACCATGTTTATTCAATTCAACGTGACATTTACCAGAAGTGGGTAGATTTAAAAAAAATAGATTTCTACCAAACTCAACTTGCTTTATTTGGCACAAAGACTTTTCCGATTCATGAGCTGTTGGCTCTAAGTGGATAAACTTCCTGTGTGATCCTCAGTGAGGGAACTTGTTTGCTCAATGTCACGCACTGGAAAATAGCCTGTGGCCTGGTCACTGAATAACATGACAAAATGGAATATGATTACAGAAACCAGCATGCGTTGTAATAGCCCTCAATTTTTTTGTGAGGTTTTGACCCACAACATAATTTGCAGGCAGATCATGAAATACATATAGTAACAGTGTAACTGAAATGTCTTTGTAAAATATTCTTTACTAGTGGACAAGTGAGGTAGCGTTAGACAAACATGATGTACAGAGAGTGACAGCATTCTGCACAGGATTCTGTTGAATGGCTTTTTATTAATTGGTAGAATAACAATAATAGAAAAACAATATAGTGTATAGATCTCAATGTTTTGAAAACAAGGGAGGTCCAAAATAAAAAGGGGTATTGAGCACGGCTGCATGAAAGAGAGTGTAAATTATTCATTGCTGTGCAGAGGCTAGATTGTTTGTTCTGTATCAATATTCAACCTTCAGTTTACAGCTCATGTTTGCTGGTACACTCCAAGGGCACGGCTGTGACTGTGGAGCAACCCTAAAGCAGAAAATCACTAATGAATAATGGCTGCTATAAATGGCAGAATGTCCTCGGTCCTGATTAAAAATAGTTCAAATAAACCAGATATGTCCCAGAAACCTCAATCACTTGGCGAGCCTGCACTTGTCCACTATCCAGCATCAACATACTGGAGACTTTAGCTCCTCTTGTTTTCATATCAGTTAGTAGATCTTCTTAAGTACAAACTGTGTTTTCTTTAAAGCCATGCAGCTGTTTTTGATTTACCTCTGTGTCTCATTTGCAGCCCTGTCTAAAGGGAATAAGCCTGTGCACACCATCCTTTTGAACCCACATGTGCACCTAATCGGGGAGAACGCAGCATGTATTGCCTACATCCGACTGACCCAGTACATGGACACCAGCGGCATGCCCCGCACCATGCAGTCTGAGGAGACCCGTGTGTGGCATCGCCGCGACGGCAAGTGGCAGAACATCCACTTCCACCGCTCTGGCTCCCCCAGCATCCCTTCCCAGTAAGAGACAGTAAGAAACACGCAGCAGCTCAAAGTAATTTCAGTGGACATCAGTGCTACAGTGATGTAGCAAGATGACACATTTATAGTGTGTTCCAGGGTCAGTGCATCATTAATGACTTTTAACTTCAACTAGAAATGGTAATAAGATGAGCTACTGCTTTTCAGCCTAGTGTTTCTCTTTATTGAACACAAACTAAGTGGTACTTTGGGCTCAAAAATACAGATGGAGGACAGAGTGTGTCATGGGCAACGGATGAATAGACAAAGAATAGGGAAAGTGACACTGACTAGCAGCAGTAACAATTGAACTCAAAACCACAATCTAATACAAACTAAATGGTCACGCTACCAACACCAGCACACACGACTTAAGCAGAGGGGATCAGCAAATCCAACACACACACATCTCTCTGCCTCTTAACCAGCATGGCGTTGATTGGTGATTGAATCCAGCCTTGTGCACTCACACTGCAGCTACAGGGAAAAAGGTGGGACCTGAATGGACTCTGGGGAGTGAGAGAGAGCGAGAGAGAGTGAGAGAGAACACAACAAGGCTCATAACAATATGATAAAAACACACCTGGGAAAATTCACCTGTTACAGCAGCAGACAAGTCAGAATGAGGAAGACAAGAGAATAAAAATATAAAAGGCAGTTTTTAATGTTTTCCACTGACTCATCTTAAAACAACAACTTGGAAAGGTGTCTTAAATATGAACTTGACAAACGACACCACCCTGCAGAGCTTGCTATAGTTATGGTTGCTAAAGTTTGGGGGAGTTCGTCAGTTGAAGAGTCATTTTCCAAGTTCATTCAAGTAGGCGTAATTGAGAGGACTGATATTCTTTAGCAAAAAAATTCCAGCAATAATGAATCACAACAACTAGCAGGATGAACAGGTTATTTTTATGATGCACACTTCCTGAAAAGAAAATGTGTGGGTGGGCCATAGATGTGTAAGAGACATTTCCAGTAACATGCATAGTGGGATTTTATCAGGGCTGTTAATTTTTAACCGACAGAAAAAACATTTCCATTCCTCTGTGTAATCTCTCTTTCTAGATTCACATTTATTTTCTCTCCCATTTTTTGCAGTTAATGGAATATCAACATTTGGTCCAATTAAAAAAAAAAAAAAAAAAAAAAAATCCCATCAGCAAATCCAGCCGGGCAGTCGACAACCAACCCGTGACTGCTCTCTGACCTTTTGACCCTCCTTTAAGGATTTAACATCGCACAGGACACTAAGTATTAATACATTTTACTGTTATGGCATTTTATTAATGGACATCATTCGAAACCACCACCCGGTGGCGGCACACTGTATTTGGACATTATGAAACAAGCATATTGACAACATTTGTTTGTTTGTTTTTTAAGATGTTTTGGTATGCATTTTAAATATGAAATAGAGATGTTTAAAAATCTACTACTGTAACCTCTCCCAAAAATTAGTTCTTGTATTTTTACGTGTATTTATGTGTGTGCAATACAAAAAAAATCATTTGGAAGATCAGAATGTTAAAATTGAGCTTGCTTTAGTTCTGGTGATGTATATACATTGTGATTGTTGATTAAAAACAAAAACAAACATTGAAAATTGCTATTCTTGCTATCAGAGGAATTAAGAGTTTATGTGAAATCCAGTTTATGGGCTACATTTCTGTTTGCTATGAGCTAAGTCATACTGTTTGAATTGTTCGATTTCAACCTATAATACTAATTTAAATGTAAAGAAAAGCAGAGCAGCTTACACTTTGCATTGAGGTATGTTTGCCTTTATATCAGTGAAATAAGAAATAAGAGAATGTAGCATATATGTAATATATGAAAAATCCAAGACTATTGTGTAGTGCATGGGGGGGATATTGTGAGTAAGAGCATATGATACTATAATATCTTCTGTTCGATCTGTGAATCACTGACTTGTTTGTTTGCATTTGTTAATGTTGTGCATTAGTCCTTGTCCCAAATGTTTCTGATGTCCTCCAATATCATGGAACTGCTGTAAAAAACAGTAACAGTTATGGTTGACATCCAGCGTAAATATCAAGACCTCATATCTCAAGAGGAGGAAAAACTAGACTCCTGGTTGCAGAAGCACCCGTTATATTTTGTATAAAAATGAGAAGAAAACAAGCTCATTTTTCATAATGTTTGTACTCGTATCGTTTGACTGTATGTAGGGTTTCTGTTGTCATTTTATTCTCGTCATTTCCAGTGTGTTACTCTGCCAGTTGCACCGAGAAGGTGGGAGATGATGAAGACTGAGCAAAGGCACCACAGTCTCCACCTTCAGTCAGTGGGATGTCTTCCTCGACGTTCAGTGCTTGGACGAGCCAGGGGTCCCCTCGCCGCTGCAGGACAATGCCTTGTCTTTGTCATCCTTACTGTTTCCTCTTTTCAATTGGTTTGTCTCTTCTTTTTTTTTAAGGGGAAAAATGTGATAAAACATTTCTTTTGACGAAAAGTATGATGTCAGTGCAATGCACCACTCCTTATATGGTGTGTACCTGTTGCCAGCACGGCAATGGTTGGCTTAACATGTTTATGAAATAAATAAATCTGCTAAAAGGTGTGATGATGAAAAGGTTTTTACTGGTTTTGTGTCATTAATTTGTGATTTTAGTCCAAACAATATACTCTTTGTTTATACATACATGATAACGTGTCGATTAGTCTGAAAGGAATAAATTGGTACTGCCATGCAAATGAAACCACTTCAAGTTGCATTTAATCACTCTAGAGTCTAAACCATCACTTGGACCTGTTATAGAGTAAAATGGGCAGTTTGTGATTTCAGTGATCTATTTTTTATATTTGACAGATCATTAGAATAATTATAATCTCTATAATAAACACAGAAACCCTTCAGCTAAACAAATACATTTAAAGAATCAAATAGCCTGGATCAGCGTTAATCTCCATTGTTCCTCTCATTTTATTGTTTTCTGATTTACTGGTGACACCTGGTGGATAGTGTGTGACCTACAGGACGTGCTTATCACAGCAAAAGTACGCTTTATGAAATGGATTCTAATATATTGGGTCTTGTTGTCCCTTAGAGTTTTGAAAGTACAAAATGTAAACATGGTTATTTATGTGATTGAATGTAGAACTTCAATATTAGCTTTAATACTGATGCTTGGATTCCTTTACAATTACACTACGTGAGGCCAAACGAGGGAAAGTACCCGGTCTGCTATACATGTACTGTGTGTAAAAGGTTTTGCTGCAGTAATTGTGTGCAGTGCACAGTCAGCATGTTTTTTAGCTAAGGAAAAAATAATTAAAGTCTACAGAGATAAATCCACAGAACACACCTTTATATGTTTCTAGACTTTTATTCTCTATCAGCCATAGACACTGCAGCCGTTTTGTTTTTGTCTTTTTGAATTTTGATACAGTAATACATGCCCTTATAGATATTTATATGCATTGTATATGTATATAACCGTCATCATCACAGAAAAGGGATGCTGATTCTTCAAATTAAAAGCATACCTGTCACAGTGAACTTCCACTAGTTTGCATTTTCTAAATCACAAAGTAAACAGTGATAGTGAAATAAATACATTACATGTTGTAGATACATACAGTAGCGATACTCAGAGCTGTGAATAATGATAGATTTAAGCTCTCAACCTGCCTCATTACGTGTATGTCTGGGCTATCACCATCTGTTGGACACTATCGCTGTGGCTACGATATACTGTACCTCATATCCTGTGCACAAAAAGCAAGGAGGTGTCTCCTCCCGACATTCAGGAGTGCAAATGCGGTTTGTGTTAAAATAAACTTTTTTTTCTTTGCTGAAACTAGCAAAACTTGTTTACTCACACTCATTCTCACATACACACCCACACACATACCCCACAACTGCCTAACGCCTGGTCCAACACTTTCGACACAATTCAAAAGATAAAGTCTAACATTAAGTAAAGCAGAAACACATTAGTGCATGTGTTGTATCAGACTCTAAAACCAATTTCTTATCCACCTGCGGCATATTCTGTGGTACCTCCCTGAAAAAAGAAATTTCGAATTGGCTGTCAAACACAAAATGTAACTATATTAACTAGTAAGCTCGAAAATAAACTAAAATAAGTCGTCTTCAAACACAAGTCTTTCAAATCAGCTACAATACCCTTTGTCGATGCCGTATTTAACTCAACACATGCATGGATGAACTTAAACCATACAGGAGCTACGGTGCATCCTCACTCACACATTCACCAGCCAAACGATACAAGTCAAGATCCCATCCCCACCCTGTCAAAATAAAATCACACATAATAACACAGAAAAGAAGACACACACAGAAGGGAAAGAGAGGCAGAAAGGGCAATCCATAGAATTACAAAGCAGTCAAAGCTAGGATCATAATGACAGATGTTGATTAGTCATGCCTGCTCTACTTCACATGAGTGATTATTAATTCCTAGGCTACAGATGTCGGTAATGTCTAGATTATAGATAATATATAATTCCCAAAGACGGATTACACATAGCCGACACAAAACACAGCAGCAGCAGCAGCAGTTAAATTCAGTGTTGATACCACCTGACACAAAGGTACAGCTAGTACAGTGAGTGAAATTTTTTTTTTTTTCAGTTAGCAATATCTGAGAAACTCTGGGTGTGAGAGGCAGTGCTGTGTGAAATATCGACTTTCAGTCCGAGCACCTAGAGCAGTACCAGTATTTAGCAGGAAAGGTGTTCTTCACCTTTGTGAGTTAGTAGATGTGAGATATTATTTGACCATTTTCTTTGTTTTTTTTTTGTTGCTCTACCACAGAATCAGGACAATAATTTCAGAGACAATTCTAACGTGGAAAGTAAAATGAATCAGGGAGAAAACATAAAGGATTTCTTTGGTCACAAAAAGGCGAAAACAACATCAGAACATAAAAGAAAAATCATGAATAACGTGACATCAGCCAGGGAAGAAACCTCCACATCGTGAACAGGACGTCTTCTTCCGGGACTTCAGTGGGAAGACTGTGGTAGCTTTGAGGTGCCAATGGTGCGCACTGGGATTACAGTTGGCTAATGCATAGGATTAAGGGGGGTGGTGCTTTAGCATTAACACAGCCAGGAAGTCATGGGGAAGGGGGGGTATTACACATTCCTCTATTCTTCCTCCTCCTCCTCCTCTTCATCATCATCAGTGTCCTCCTCATCCTTTTCGTGGAAATGATGAAAGAGCTGGTGGAGATGCTGCTGTAGCTCGCATAGTTTTGACCCTTTCCTGGGATTGTCCACTCGCTCGAGCAGAACCTGTTTGCGTCGCCCAGCTCCCTTCACCACCGTCCGTCTGTGGGTGCGACCTTTACGCATGTGAGCCCTAAAGTTGAAGTGGAAACAAACAGATGAAGACACTTCGACTGCAACAAAAGTGCACCTGTAGCTTTCTGGAAAGGATCAGATGTTTCTAAAGTTGTGAGATAGTTTATGAGAGAGAAACACAACACCCACATTTTATATGATGCTTTGTTAATCCAGCATGCAGTTGAGATTTTGTCATAGGTCCCACTGCAGAAATCTAAAAATTATGTTAAAAACACTTAGCTCTTAGCATAGATTTTCCATGTTTCTGGACAAATACCGGAGGGATGAACACAATCTTTGAAAACATATTTGATCTCACATGTCGCTCCATTAGTGCTCAGCTTGGATGAGATCTGATGACTGTGAAGGAAATTAGCTTATGGTTTACACAATCATTTTTTAAAGGTATTATTTCACCTTTATTATTAGCATTAAGGGACAGTTCAAGTGTAAAATGAGGAGAGAGACTGATGGAAAGGGTTGGGTCGGAAACAAACCTGTGGCTGCAGGAGGAAGACTCAAGCATCTGTATGGTACATGATCATTTTTATTGACCTGTGCCTTACATGGAAGAATCTATATTAATGCTTTGATTGTATGTTTGCATATCTGTCACTATAAGTGTTGCTAAACCTTGTTGACAGCACAGCACCACAGAGGCCAAATCTTACTGGATGTTATTTTTGCGTTACTTCTGTATAGCTTCTTAATTACGTTGAATACTGACACTGACAGTACTTTTTAGCCTGTGCTTTCCAATACTACACAGTAAAAAATTACAATGGAAATAATATAATATTCTTAATAGAATAAAGCATTAATTTACTCAACCACACATTGAACCACACATTGAACCACACTGTAACATTGTCATGATGACATTGGGATGCAAACATTGTTCCACCAAAGTAACAGTATTTTGGTATGTTAGTACTATATTCATTCAGTATTAGTAGATTAAATATTAGTAAACCTCATAAAACCACAGCAACGATGTCACTGTAAAAAATTCACACAATTCACACGTGCACAACCAAAGAAGTGTGCTCCAACACTCACACACCTCCTGACCACAGTTCCATCTTCTTTGACAGTCTCTCTCTCTACCACATGAGGGAGTTCTGTCCTGCTAAAACCACTTATATAACCTAGTGCCTGGTGGCATCAAAGGGAGAAAACATCATCACTTCATTTGGAATGATTTTGAAAAAACAAAACTAAGATCTGGTTCCTTCCCTGAAATGATTTTTACACAAGCACTGTAGGTGATAAACGTAAAATAAAATACCTATTACATACAGCATATCAATGGGGCAAGTAATTTCTGCAAAGTCTAGGTTATGGAAAAATGATGTTGAGGTTATTAACAAACCTGTTTGAAGTCATCTTGGGCCGTGGGGAGGTCAGATGCCAAAGATGGATCACCCTGGTGCGTCATTGTTCTTTCACCCTCCACCATCTTTGTCCTTTCCACGAGACTGACCTTGCGACCCTCGGTTGGCTCCTGACTTGATGCTGAGAAACCCTCACATTCAACAAATGTTACCTAGGTCAGAGGAAAAGGTTATCTGTTATTTAATATTTTCTAGCCCTGATATAAATTGGTTTGTCTTATTTTTTCTGTAAAAAAGAAGATTTAGATAACTATGACGAACACACGTAGTATACAGGACACACACCTCTGTATCTTCTCCTTCACTCTTCAGTACTGTCCGCTTCACAACTTTGGAGTAACCATCTCCCTCTGCAACACTAATGGACGCCTGCGGGGCTCCTTCCAACGTCACCTCTTCACGCTCCACGCCATCGGCAGAAATACATTTGCGAATAATTTTACGAGTTACCTGAGGAAGACCATGTGGAAAGGTAGTTGTCCGAATATTCTGTTTCTAAGTAGTATTGCTGCACAATCACAAATTTGCTTTATTAGGATTTACCTTTTTGACAACAAGGTGTCCATGTTCGTCCTTGTACTGCTCCTCGGTCACTGACTGAGTGGGCAGGTCAGGCATTTCATCGGCCTGTGAGGAAACCATGAAAAACAATAATCAGCAATGCTACCTCGGATCAGTGTTGTGTTAACGTGTTTGATTCTCCACTTCAAAAACACAAAGCCAACGCATGTGACAGAAGAAATAGGACACAAAACTTGCACATTAGGATGTGACAAAATAGGGACTTTTTGGGATACAGGGAACAAATTGCATTCTCGGGGAGAAAAAAGTTGTCAAATAAAACAACTGCAGCATAAAACAGGTCCAGCCATGTATGCAAATCAAGTGGTTTCTTTCAAATCCTAAATCTTCACACACATTTTTTCTTTCCCATTTTGAAAGGATGTTAGACAGTAAATTCCTGAACTTGACAATAAACACCTTGCTTGGTTAAAGTTGCACTCCGGATGCCACGCTCTCCATGCTCATTGAAAACACCATCGGTCATGCTAAATCGGATACCTGTATGACAACTCTTCTTCGCACTACCCTGGTGGTCACAAATTCATCGTCTGAACTTTCTGACATTGATTCCAGTTCTGCAGTGACCTCCTGACCAAGCAACACAAACCCGTGAACATTTAATGAATGACAATGTACGAATGCTACTGTATGTCTTCAGCAAAGTGGGCAGTAAGCAGACTGACATGGTGCACTTTCTATTGGGTTTGAGAATCTTAAAATGAATTTTCATGTCTTACATTGGAAAGTACAACATGGCAGTCTGTAGCTTGGAAAAACATTTGCAAAGCATACCATGCTTTTACTTAAGTAAAGAATTAACGTGATTATTGCTGTAGCTTATGCTATTACTGTAAGTGATAAAGCTGGTTACAAGCAGCAGAGTGACATGCTGAGTAAGCACAGGTTAAATCTGAAAAAAAAGGGTTATAGGAAATTTTAGGTCCAATCCATGAGGCCAGAGGGGGTTAGCAGTCATTTCTCTTTTCAGCAAATATTATATTTTATAAGCTCAGCTCTGGGAAAAGTTTGCAGGCTGGAATGGTTTACCAAATGTCATCTTACCCTTGTCAGAGATTTATGAGTATCATCATATGCCCCCATTTCACAGACAGGGGGCAGTTGTGTAGCCTCACATAGGGTGAATTCATCATCTGATGCTTCTGAATAGTGTATTATTTCTTCACTCTCTTCATATACATTATGAAGAGGCTCATGGACAAAAGGAGCATCCTCGTAATCCTCACTTCCAGAAGATAAAAGCACTCCTCGATTCACCTTTTCTAGCACTGTAGAATGGCTGACAAAATCTAGAGGTAGCCTTTCACTTGACTTAGTTCTCGACTCCGGTTCATCGGGCTCGGTCTCCGAGAAATCCGACGTAGCTTGTTTGCAGTCAAAGAATGGCTCTGGGTCATAGTATTTAAAGGTAGGGCTGTCTGCACCACTATGCACAACGTCTGCATATCTCGGTGGCACACAGGTATTTAAGGTTGCAGGAGAAGTGTTCTCTGAGTATCCAGGTTTGATGTTGTATTCCTCATCAGTAGTCGATGAAGTCGTCTCTGCTTTATGTTCAACTAAAGTAGGTTGAGAGGCAAAACATTCATAGTCTACTGGAGATTCTTCTAAATACAGTCCACTGATCCTTGGACTATCCTCTTCTGAAGATGTCTCAACATTCCTTGAAGAGGGGCATGGGAACCGATCCTCAAAGCTAAAATGTCTTGTTACTGTCTCGGGTGTCAATTCGGAAAGAGACTGAGAGGAAAAGTCCTCAGGCTGAACGGCTTCTATAGAGGTCACCTCCCATAAATATGGAAGTTGATCTTGCATACTCTGTGTTGATGCTTCTTCGGTCACATCCCATGAGACATTACATGGGTTAGTTGATTCATGCTTTTCTTTTCCATGAATAATCTCAGTTGTAGAATCTTCCTCAAGTTGATCAACCAGATTGTTTTCAGGTATGTCAGAATAACACACTATTTTGGGCAAAGACCCATATTTGTTGGACTTGAATATGTCCAAAGGAAAACTTGATGGTTCTGTTGTGTCACAAAATCTTTGGGGAGATTCTGGGATTGAATGTGACTCAGTAGGAGATGTAGGACTGTCTTTATCTCGACCAAAGCTTGATTCTACACTTGTCTCAGAGGTAATTGTTTCATCTGCAGCAGTTGAGACTAATTCAGGTTCATCTTGAGTGGATGTCTGGATATGTGTGAGCTGCATAACAGAAATCCCTCTTATGGTATCATCCTCATCTATAGGACATTGATCTTCAGGTGAAAGATCTTCAAACTCGTAATTTTGATCACCTTCAGGGCTTTCAACACTGGATTCTGACAGAGGTGGGCCAAGTGCCTCTGGTCTAAACTTCAGTTTCATTTCCTCCAGATCTGACAGTAGCTGATCAAGCTGAGGGGACCCAGACCCTGGTGGTGTTGGAGTGGATTCTGGGGACATGATGATTTTATCATCTGCACTGTCTTGGGCTGTTAGGCAGAGTGAGTCTGGGATCACTGAGCTTGGTTTAGCTAAGCCACAATCTTCACTTTGTGTGGGGAAAGACATCTGTTCATCTTCTTCCTGTGGTGAGCTGCTTTGATCAGTCAATGTAATTTCAGATTTTGTTTTACAAAGGTCAAATGTACTTGGAATCTGTAATTCTAGTTTTTGAGTGGGAAGTGAGTCTGAATCATTTTCTAAGAGTGGCATCTCGGTCGGAAAGACATGACTCTGTCCTACATCAACATTTTTTTCTTGTTCTGAAAGATCGGTCTTGAAAGAAGCTGTTGGTACCTGCAAGAAATGATACAATGGAATGGGGACAAATATAAACAAATATGATTTGCGATTTTTTTGGTGATGAAAGGTGAAATGGTTCAAATGAAACATGCACTTGTCAAGGACAGGTTCTTGTTTTAGATGTAGAATTTCCTCATTGTTTCTCAATATGGAAATTCACTTGTAGCCTACTTGCATTTTGGTAATTCACAGTGTTATCTATACATATTAATAATATGTATAAAACAGACCACATATAATGGAGAATTTTTTGAAAAATTAATGATAATACTGTCATATGTTTGGAGATTGTATTGAGGGCATCAGTGGCAACACACTATAATTTTACAATGATTAAAGCAAATGAATGAATGAATGAATTTGGTGGAAATCAGGATTTGGCTGATCACATGAAAGTGGACATGCATTGTTTTACAATTCTTTCAAATAAATTGTTGCTGGAAAGCAGGAAACACTGCATTTCCAATAAAATCGTTAAAGTTTTGTCGTGGTCATACACTGTAATTGTCTGTTCTGCTGCAAGCCTGTCCCTTCTTAAGAAAGGTAAAAAAAAATCTGTTATTAGACTAAATTTTCTCATTTCTCCACTAACATTTTTCAAAAAATGTTTTACCTTATCTCGTCAAAGAAAATAAAAACAACCATTACAATAATACAATCAACACAAACAACCATTAGTGTTGTGTCTCCTGCCAAAAAATGCATCGGAAAGTAAACCCAACAGTCGGAGACAATGTCTAGCTACAGACATGCGAACATTACAGGCGCCAATGGAGTAGTATATGTGTGATCAGTTTATATGTTTGTTGTATAAGTGGGAGCCTGTGTGTTACAAACAAGGAAGAAAACATCACAAACAGCACATGCCTCTAGCTGTAGATCTAAATGGGACTGTATAACTATTGCAATTATAGTAGATGTATGGCACATAGAGGAAATGTAATCAAGGCATTGAAATCCCCCGTTGCTTGAAGCAATGCTCTAAAGGCATCACTAAGAACACATGGTTAACTGGCTATCTGCACAGCATATGAGAACATTCCATAGCAGGGCAAGAAGCTTTCTTCATTAAGATTGGGTCACTGTAGTTTCCATTAGTTGTGCTTCACTGAAAGAGCATTTTACTCTACATGCCACAGCAAGACAGTGAAGCCTTTGTGCATTATTAATAAAGGTTTGAGAAAGTTCTACATTCACACTTTAAGTATTGCCATGTTCATTACTTTTGAAAGCCACACAGCAATCAGTGCTGAGCAAGAGCTTGTGCTGTCTTACCGACACCAGGGAACCTTTGCTCTCGTCCTCACTCATGGATTTTTCTTTGCATGTTCTTGAAAATCAAATCTTGGGTGTGTTGTCGTCTTAAATTGTGATTCAGGGTCTGTCCATTTAAGTGGTCTTCAATTCACTGATTGTCTATTAACATTGAAATCCTCCTCAAGCCACACAGTATGATGAAATCCAAATTTTTGCTCTACAGATGGAATGTGACTCAACTCAAAACTAAAAGGGCAAATACTTTGTAAACTGATCTAATCTAAGTTGTTTGTTGTCTGGGGAAGTGAAAAAAATTAGATAAAAAAGGACTGCTCATCTGTGGTTGATGATGGAAGTGTGGGTCCTGTCTCAGCTTCTGCAGAGGGGGATAGTGAGGACTCCTGCAATGACTTGGAGTCAGGTGTGATGCTTTCAAAATGACAAGGTATGGCCGGGCTATGTGACTCTCCCATGCTGAGTTCTAAATCTTCAAATGTGTTTTGATCACAAGCCTTTTCAGTCAAATTATCAGCTGCATCTTCAAAATAATGAATCTTACCACTGTCATATTTCTGTTCATAGACTGGATCACCTTTGAGTGCCATTGCGGTCTCTGAGAGTGGCTTATTGTCTTCAGAAACAGTACAATCATGTTCACTTTGCCCACATGGCAGCTGGTTTAATACTTCATCGAATTCCCCAACTGATTCAAGAAATTGAGGGGTAGAAGGTCTTAACTCAGACAGCCAGTATTGAAGGAATGCCTGTGTGTACTCAATATTTGATGTATCTGGCTCACTGTTGAAAGACTCATGAATTTCACAGTCAAACACAATGGAATCAGGTGAATCTGGTCTGATCTCAACAAACAAATCATCAAAACAAGAATCAGTTCTATCTCTCTCCAATATTATGAAATCAGTTGAAATAGATCTGTTTTCCGACAAATGCACGTGATAAGGTTGGCACTCAAACTGAGGAGCTTGAGAGTCAGAAGAAAGGACAATAAACTCATCAAATGAGGAATATGATTCTGGAGAAGATGGTCTGTTATAACTGAAAAAGGAAGGACTTGTATCATCCAACTGTAGTGTTTCAGGTGACTCTGGTGTATGTTCTGAAGATAAAGGACTCTCAATGAATTCCCATTGCTCTGCTTGCTCTTGGGAACTTGTGGATATTGTGTCAGCTGTTGACCTTAAGTTTAAATGGCTTAGACATGCAGGAGAAACAGAATCTGAAATTGCATCATCTTTTTTGTCTTCTGATGTTTTGTGTGTAAGCCTTGAAATGTTGTCTGCAATTGTGGTGGCAATTATGTCAGGATGTGATGTAAAATTGACAAAAGATGAATCTTTTTCTAGTGTAGATTTGAATAATCTTATTTCACTACAAGACCATTTTCCCTTATATAAAGGATCATGTAAATGTGACATTAAGTTGTTGAATAAAGGCTTCTGTCTAACTCTACATTCTTTTATTAATGAATTGGAGTAAGATGACATGGAATCACATGGAACAAGTTTGCTTTGGGTGAGATTTTTCTCTGACTTGTGTACTGATGAAGAGAGTTCAGCACAAATTGTAATTCCAGGAGACACACAATGCCGTTCAGTTGAAGCTACAGATTCTGGTGARGATGCTCTAACATCTGATAACCAGTTCTGGAAGAGTGAAAAGTCCAAATCAGAAGACACAGACTCTGGGGACA